GTTAAAACCATAATATACATAGCTGCAGCGTGGCTCTACCAAATTTTGGAATAATTAGTCCGTCATGCTATTCCAATCCAATGCATGTTGGTGGACTTCACATTGTTTCAAAATTAAGCATCGTAAGCAACTTTATGCCAGGGGTTTCCAAACTTTTACAGTTCGCGGCGCACTAACAGGATTAGTACATTGTCTCGGCGCCGTAGCTAGTCGAAACAGGGTATCCAGTAAAAAGGGTCTCTGGTTCTCTACACTCACCATACGTAATACAGCAACATTAAGCTGCTATTTTACGTTCGTATTATGTGAGAGCGTGGTTCTTCCCCAGTCGAGCAAACTCATTCGTGTTAAAACCATAATATACATAGCTGCAGCGTGGCTCTACCAAATTTTGGAATAATTAGTCCGTCATGCTATTCCAATCCAATGCATGTTGGTGGACTTCACATTGTTTCAAAATTAAGCATCGTAAGCAACTTTATGCCAGGGGTTTCCAAACTTTTACAGTTCGCGGCGCACTAACAGGATTAGTACATTGTCTCGGCGCCGTAGCTAGTCGAAACAGGGTACTAGGTAGAAACACACAAAAATTAAAACATCCACAATATGAGGCTGAATTTTATAATTTATATTGACGCACAAGTATACACTTATTATTTAAGAAAAATAGGAAATAAAATACAATGACAACTTAGTCAATGTGACGTGTGACTTGGTGATTTCCACACATATTTTCCAAGCGTGGTGTAAGGCTTGACACCGCCACTACCATTTTTTGCTCCACATTGATCTTTGAGCGTCATTTGTTCTTTATTTACACAGCTACAACTGGACATGCGGTTTATTTTGTACCCGAGAATACCTAAGTTTAGTTTCCAGAGAATGATAAACAGGAGCGTCTCACAGCGCCCTTCTTTACTCTACCGCGCACACTTTGGCATATTTCAATATTCTGATTGAAGTGCTCCAAAAGTAATTGCAGAAGATGGCCATAAGAGCAAGTTATGATTGAATTAAAGATGAAAAATATCTAAAGGGACTCTTTAGGTAATTCTCGATTCGTTAGGTTTTTAGACAAAAGATTAAGGAACTTAAATTTTAACTTTAGTCTCTATATATTTACAAAAATGTAATGTACGTACATAAACAAGTTATACGAGGGCGGCACTGAAAATTTCGGGAATCAAGGAAGTGACACAACATTACTATTTAAAAATGTATTTATTGCTTTTCGAAGCATTCTCCGCGAAATTTGACACATTTTTCCATACGATGGAACCAATCATTGAAGCAACCATTCCATTCGGAAGTTGGGGTCTCCAAAATGGGCGTTTTGTAGGCGTCCACAGCTTCTTCAGGTGATGAAAATCTCTGTCCACGCAATTTATTCTTTATTTTAGGGAAAGTATAGAAATCATTAGGGCTTAGGTCGGGACTGTACGGCGGATGGTCTAATAATTCTATGTTTTCTTGCTCTAAAAACTCTTTTGTTCTGTGTGCGGTGTGAGAACTCGCATTGTCGTGATGGAGGATGATGCGGCGGTTGCAGTTCTCTTTACGGAGTTCAGAAATGAACTGTGGCAATCAAATGCTAGCATACCATTCTGCATTAACCGTTCTTTGTCCCTCAAGAGGAATAGTCGTAACATGGCCGGTTTTGGAGACAAACGTGGCCACCATTTTTTTTGCAACACTCCGTGAACGAACAATTTTTGTTGGCTTTAACTCATTTTCGAACACCCAAACTCGTGACTGATTTTTTGTTTCGGGTTCGTACGCGTATATCCAGGATTCGTCACCTGATACGATGTTGTATACAGCATTTGAGGATCCTGCGTGGAATCTTTCGACAGTTCTGACGCACCAAGTAACGCGAGCCGCTTTTTGCTATTCACAGAGCGAATGCGGTATCCATCGGGAAAACAACTTTTTTACACCTAATTGTTCATGCAAGATTATTTGTATTTGACTCATGCCAATGTCTAAAGTTGCCTGAATTTCGCGGTATGTCACATGTCGATCTTCCTCAATCAGCTTACGCACAGCATCAACGTTTTCTTGGGTGACTGCAGTTTTTGGACGACCTTGACGGGGATCATCACTGAGCTTGACACGTCCACGTTGAAATTCAGCAAAACAGCGATAAATTGTGGTTTTGGATGGAGCTTCATCACCAAATACAGAAATCATCCGGTCAACACGCTGTTTTTGTGTTAAACCACTTCGAAAGTCATAATAAATCATCGCTCTTGAATTTTCTCGAGTCAATTCCATTTTCTCAACGACTAAACAAGTTTGACAAAACCTTGACCGAGAATCTTTTTTAAATAAATAAATGGTATTCGATTTTTAAAACCAAGGATTTTTCAATTAAAAAGATTTTAACATGACAGGAACAGTGGAAATATTCCATTCCCGATACTTTTAGTGCAGCCTATGTATGCATACTGGGAACAGGCAGTAATATTACTTACTCAATTCAAGAGAATCGGTAATTTATTCATAATGCTAATGTAATGTAATGCTTGACTAATTGGTGTTAGAACAAAATGCAAGATATTTAACTAAGTTCAAAAAAAATTTGTGCAAGTATAATTAATTTATACTATGAAGAATATTATACGATTGTACAACAATACAAGTCTCATTCTGTTTCTGGCTGGTTCTTCCCAGGACGGAGGTATTTTTCATAATACAAGTTAAAATTACTCAAGTAATATTATGTATAATTAATATTTAATAACAAAAAGAATTCTATTTCGAATTAAGTTTTATTTTAATTTTACAGAAGCTGCGAGTGCGAGTGGGAGTATGCTGACTTGTACACATGGCAATTTATGCTCATGCGCCGAAGGTTGCGGTTGACGCTGAAGTTGGATCACGTGCAGTCGAACACTCCAGCGCATATATGCGCCGAAACTCCAGTACTTAGCACCACGGTTGATGTTGCACATGAGGGTAATGTGTTTTAAAATTAATCTTGATTTATTTGTGTATATTAAATTATTCAAAGTAAAATTTACACTATTGGAAGTCAACTACGTCTACATGTGACTTTCTTGTTGCTTCTTTTCACAAGGTCTCTTGCAGTAGGAACTTGATGAAACAATGTAGCTTTCTTCCTATACATTATTCTTCCTCGAATACAGATATGGCATGTTTCATTACCAGTATAAAGGGTCTCTTGTTCTCGTTGGATTATGTACGTGGTAGAGCCACGCTGCAGCTATATTATGGTTGTAGTACGAATGGGTCGTCTCGACCAGGGTGGGACCGCGCTCTCACAGCATACCAGTGTAAAATAGCAACTTAATTCTGCTGTGTTTTGTACGGTGAGTAGAGAACCAGAGACCCTCTTACTGGTAATGGCATTCTATTTTAGCATCTGCATTTATTTAGTTATTTATTTATTTCATTCAGAACACCAACAGCTTTCATACATATCACTTATTACAAAATTTTAAATCGACATAGCTATTAAAAGGCATATAAATATTAAAATGTATATGGGCCACACAAGCTTTATGAAAATAAAATCGATCAATTAAAAAGTAGAAAAAGAGAGGGAAATAGACCTAAATATTTCTGCACACATAATAGAGTGGGGCCGAAATGCTCTGAGGCAAACAGCTTGTTAATATTTGAAGGTTTAGTCCGAAATAATTAGAAGTAGGTGTTACCTAATGAGAGATTATTGAAAAAATTACTTGTGCGAATAAAGAAAGAGTTGCGACGATAATTAGTGTTAGCTCTGGGTATTGATAGAGGTTGGGTACGTCTTATAGGTAATTTGCGTAGTACCCCGATGTTAAATTGCTTTAATAAGAAAAGACAGTCTATGAGACCATTAACAATTTTTAACAAATACTTAATGATAATAATCTGATAATGATCTGATATTTGTCTTTTACTGTCTAGGGGTAAAAAGTGAACTTTTGATTTTTATTCGAGGATAGATGTGGATATCTAGGGCCACACCATTCTCTTACCATTAGATGGAATGTGTGCTCGTTTGTCAGGCTTATTCTATAAAAAGAAAACTAACAACAAACACTGTTTTTCCATTGCTACTAAATAGTATTATATTCGTTGTTAACAAGATTTAAATAAAAGTAACACGTTTTTGCTATAAAGCTGTATCTTTCATTTTAACTCCAACAAAGAGAACCGGAGGCGGAGATGGAAGTGGACTGTGTGCTTGTTTATCAGCCTTATTCTATAAAAAAATGCGTTGTCTATGACGTGCGTAGCATACCTGTAGTGCAAAGAGATACGCTACGAGTGCAGGCGCGGCGTGGCGTTCGTCTTGTCCTGGAATAATTATTGATATGGTATACAATATTTATTCCTTCCGGGATTCAAACCAGCGGCACTCAGCGCTGCAACTTGGCCACGGAGCATCAAATTTTAATTACAATGTAATTTAAATGAATAGGAACGTCAATGACTTCCAATGACTGCGATCTATCAACTGTTACTTGAAAAGTACGGTTTGCAAAGAAAATTTAATTTGCATATTAATAACGTTTTTTTTCCCGCTTTATTTAACTGAGTCTGAGTATTACCGAATCTATAGAACACATAATTATTTTTATAAATTAATTTAAAATATTGATACTAGTCGGTGGAATATTTTAAATACTTAGATGAATCCAAGTTCTATTTTTATAAGTGAAAGCAGTAGTGATGATGACAATGAAGCCTCCTTAGACAGTGATGCAGAGATGAGCGAAATTGAAATCCTAAATTCAAATTAATACTTTTTCGTTCATGGTTCTTTAGTTCTTTTGAAAATGAATATATTTCAAAAATATTTGTTTTGCTCACTCTACCAGTTTGAATTGATTGCTATGACGTCTCACAGATCAGTCCTATTCTTATTTAGATCACCATAGTATTTACATTTTTTTCGTAAATAATTAATATTACGGCGGAGTGTTCGTGTATCGGTAGACGCGGACACGTTGTCGACGACATGCGTTCGGGTGGCGTGCGAGGCGATGCGTTACGAGTGCGGGCGCGGCGTGAAGCGCGCGGACGACGCGGGCGCGCTGCTGCGACGCTGCGCTGGCGTGGCGCGCGTCGCCCGCCGCTGGGCCACCGCCATGCTGCACGTGCGCCTGCACCTCGCCTACAGGCTCGCGCACGACGGCACGCTCTCTCTGCACGTGAGTACTCTACACTCACAGGCGCGCGTCGCCCGCCGCTGGGCCACCGCCATGCTGCACGTGCGCCTGCACCTCGCCTACAGGCTCGCGCACGACGGCACGCTCTCTCTGCACGTGAGTACTCTACACTCACAGGCGCGCGTCGCCCGCCGCTGGGCCACCGCCATGCTGCACGTGCGCCTGCACCTCGCCTACAGGCTCGCGCACGACGGCACGCTCTCTCTGCACGTGAGTACTCTACACTCACAGGCGCGCGTCGCCCGCCGCTGGGCCACCGCCATGCTGCACGTGCGCCTGCACCTCGCCTACAGGCTCGCGCACGACGGCACGCTCTCTCTGCACGTGAGTACTCTACACTCACAGGCGCGCGTCGCCCGCCGCTGGGCCACCGCCATGCTGCACGTGCGCCTGCACCTCGCCTACAGGCTCGCGCACGACGGCACGCTCTCTCTGCACGTGAGTACTCTACACTCACAGGCGCGCGTCGCCCGCCGCTGGGCCACCGCCATGCTGCACGTGCGCCTGCACCTCGCCTACAGGCTCGCGCACGACGGCACGCTCTCTCTGCACGTGAGTACTCTACACTCACAGGCGCGCGTCGCCCGCCGCTGGGCCACCGCCATGCTGCACGTGCGCCTGCACCTCGCCTACAGGCTCGCGCACGACGGCACGCTCTCTCTGCACGTGAGTACTCTACACTCACAGGCGCGCGTCGCCCGCCGCTGGGCCACCGCCATGCTGCACGTGCGCCTGCACCTCGCCTACAGGCTCGCGCACGACGGCACGCTCTCTCTGCACGTGAGTACTCTACACTCACAGGCGCGCGTCGCCCGCCGCTGGGCCACCGCCATGCTGCACGTGCGCCTGCACCTCGCCTACAGGCTCGCGCACGACGGCACGCTCTCTCTGCACGTGAGTACTCTACACTCACAGGCGCGCGTCGCCCGCCGCTGGGCCACCGCCATGCTGCACGTGCGCCTGCACCTCGCCTACAGGCTCGCGCACGACGGCACGCTCTCTCTGCACGTGAGTACTCTACACTCACAGGCGCGCGTCGCCCGCCGCTGGGCCACCGCCATGCTGCACGTGCGCCTGCACCTCGCCTACAGGCTCGCGCACGACGGCACGCTCTCTCTGCACGTGAGTACTCTACACTCACAGGCGCGCGTCGCCCGCCGCTGGGCCACCGCCATGCTGCACGTGCGCCTGCACCTCGCCTACAGGCTCGCGCACGACGGCACGCTCTCTCTGCACGTGAGTACTCTACACTCACAGGCGCGCGTCGCCCGCCGCTGGGCCACCGCCATGCTGCACGTGCGCCTGCACCTCGCCTACAGGCTCGCGCACGACGGCACGCTCTCTCTGCACGTGAGTACTCTACACTCACAGGCGCGCGTCGCCCGCCGCTGGGCCACCGCCATGCTGCACGTGCGCCTGCACCTCGCCTACAGGCTCGCGCACGACGGCACGCTCTCTCTGCACGTGAGTACTCTACACTCACAGGCGCGCGTCGCCCGCCGCTGGGCCACCGCCATGCTGCACGTGCGCCTGCACCTCGCCTACAGGCTCGCGCACGACGGCACGCTCTCTCTGCACGTGAGTACTCTACACTCACAGGCGCGCGTCGCCCGCCGCTGGGCCACCGCCATGCTGCACGTGCGCCTGCACCTCGCCTACAGGCTCGCGCACGACGGCACGCTCTCTCTGCACGTGAGTACTCTACACTCACAGGCGCGCGTCGCCCGCCGCTGGGCCACCGCCATGCTGCACGTGCGCCTGCACCTCGCCTACAGGCTCGCGCACGACGGCACGCTCTCTCTGCACGTGAGTACTCTACACTCACAGGCGCGCGTCGCCCGCCGCTGGGCCACCGCCATGCTGCACGTGCGCCTGCACCTCGCCTACAGGCTCGCGCACGACGGCACGCTCTCTCTGCACGTGAGTACTCTACACTCACAGGCGCGCGTCGCCCGCCGCTGGGCCACCGCCATGCTGCACGTGCGCCTGCACCTCGCCTACAGGCTCGCGCACGACGGCACGCTCTCTCTGCACGTGAGTACTCTACACTCACAGGCGCGCGTCGCCCGCCGCTGGGCCACCGCCATGCTGCACGTGCGCCTGCACCTCGCCTACAGGCTCGCGCACGACGGCACGCTCTCTCTGCACGTGAGTACTCTACACTCACAGGCGCGCGTCGCCCGCCGCTGGGCCACCGCCATGCTGCACGTGCGCCTGCACCTCGCCTACAGGCTCGCGCACGACGGCACGCTCTCTCTGCACGTGAGTACTCTACACTCACAGGCGCGCGTCGCCCGCCGCTGGGCCACCGCCATGCTGCACGTGCGCCTGCACCTCGCCTACAGGCTCGCGCACGACGGCACGCTCTCTCTGCACGTGAGTACTCTACACTCACAGGCGCGCGTCGCCCGCCGCTGGGCCACCGCCATGCTGCACGTGCGCCTGCACCTCGCCTACAGGCTCGCGCACGACGGCACGCTCTCTCTGCACGTGAGTACTCTACACTCACAGGCGCGCGTCGCCCGCCGCTGGGCCACCGCCATGCTGCACGTGCGCCTGCACCTCGCCTACAGGCTCGCGCACGACGGCACGCTCTCTCTGCACGTGAGTACTCTACACTCACAGGCGCGCGTCGCCCGCCGCTGGGCCACCGCCATGCTGCACGTGCGCCTGCACCTCGCCTACAGGCTCGCGCACGACGGCACGCTCTCTCTGCACGTGAGTACTCTACACTCACAGGCGCGCGTCGCCCGCCGCTGGGCCACCGCCATGCTGCACGTGCGCCTGCACCTCGCCTACAGGCTCGCGCACGACGGCACGCTCTCTCTGCACGTGAGTACTCTACACTCACAGGCGCGCGTCGCCCGCCGCTGGGCCACCGCCATGCTGCACGTGCGCCTGCACCTCGCCTACAGGCTCGCGCACGACGGCACGCTCTCTCTGCACGTGAGTACTCTACACTCACAGGCGCGCGTCGCCCGCCGCTGGGCCACCGCCATGCTGCACGTGCGCCTGCACCTCGCCTACAGGCTCGCGCACGACGGCACGCTCTCTCTGCACGTGAGTACTCTACACTCACAGGCGCGCGTCGCCCGCCGCTGGGCCACCGCCATGCTGCACGTGCGCCTGCACCTCGCCTACAGGCTCGCGCACGACGGCACGCTCTCTCTGCACGTGAGTACTCTACACTCACAGGCGCGCGTCGCCCGCCGCTGGGCCACCGCCATGCTGCACGTGCGCCTGCACCTCGCCTACAGGCTCGCGCACGACGGCACGCTCTCTCTGCACGTGAGTACTCTACACTCACAGGCGCGCGTCGCCCGCCGCTGGGCCACCGCCATGCTGCACGTGCGCCTGCACCTCGCCTACAGGCTCGCGCACGACGGCACGCTCTCTCTGCACGTGAGTACTCTACACTCACAGGCGCGCGTCGCCCGCCGCTGGGCCACCGCCATGCTGCACGTGCGCCTGCACCTCGCCTACAGGCTCGCGCACGACGGCACGCTCTCTCTGCACGTGAGTACTCTACACTCACAGGCGCGCGTCGCCCGCCGCTGGGCCACCGCCATGCTGCACGTGCGCCTGCACCTCGCCTACAGGCTCGCGCACGACGGCACGCTCTCTCTGCACGTGAGTACTCTACACTCACAGGCGCGCGTCGCCCGCCGCTGGGCCACCGCCATGCTGCACGTGCGCCTGCACCTCGCCTACAGGCTCGCGCACGACGGCACGCTCTCTCTGCACGTGAGTACTCTACACTCACAGGCGCGCGTCGCCCGCCGCTGGGCCACCGCCATGCTGCACGTGCGCCTGCACCTCGCCTACAGGCTCGCGCACGACGGCACGCTCTCTCTGCACGTGAGTACTCTACACTCACAGGCGCGCGTCGCCCGCCGCTGGGCCACCGCCATGCTGCACGTGCGCCTGCACCTCGCCTACAGGCTCGCGCACGACGGCACGCTCTCTCTGCACGTGAGTACTCTACACTCACAGGCGCGCGTCGCCCGCCGCTGGGCCACCGCCATGCTGCACGTGCGCCTGCACCTCGCCTACAGGCTCGCGCACGACGGCACGCTCTCTCTGCACGTGAGTACTCTACACTCACAGGCGCGCGTCGCCCGCCGCTGGGCCACCGCCATGCTGCACGTGCGCCTGCACCTCGCCTACAGGCTCGCGCACGACGGCACGCTCTCTCTGCACGTGAGTACTCTACACTCACAGGCGCGCGTCGCCCGCCGCTGGGCCACCGCCATGCTGCACGTGCGCCTGCACCTCGCCTACAGGCTCGCGCACGACGGCACGCTCTCTCTGCACGTGAGTACTCTACACTCACAGGCGCGCGTCGCCCGCCGCTGGGCCACCGCCATGCTGCACGTGCGCCTGCACCTCGCCTACAGGCTCGCGCACGACGGCACGCTCTCTCTGCACGTGAGTACTCTACACTCACAGGCGCGCGTCGCCCGCCGCTGGGCCACCGCCATGCTGCACGTGCGCCTGCACCTCGCCTACAGGCTCGCGCACGACGGCACGCTCTCTCTGCACGTGAGTACTCTACACTCACAGGCGCGCGTCGCCCGCCGCTGGGCCACCGCCATGCTGCACGTGCGCCTGCACCTCGCCTACAGGCTCGCGCACGACGGCACGCTCTCTCTGCACGTGAGTACTCTACACTCACAGGCGCGCGTCGCCCGCCGCTGGGCCACCGCCATGCTGCACGTGCGCCTGCACCTCGCCTACAGGCTCGCGCACGACGGCACGCTCTCTCTGCACGTGAGTACTCTACACTCACAGGCGCGCGTCGCCCGCCGCTGGGCCACCGCCATGCTGCACGTGCGCCTGCACCTCGCCTACAGGCTCGCGCACGACGGCACGCTCTCTCTGCACGTGAGTACTCTACACTCACAGGCGCGCGTCGCCCGCCGCTGGGCCACCGCCATGCTGCACGTGCGCCTGCACCTCGCCTACAGGCTCGCGCACGACGGCACGCTCTCTCTGCACGTGAGTACTCTACACTCACAGGCGCGCGTCGCCCGCCGCTGGGCCACCGCCATGCTGCACGTGCGCCTGCACCTCGCCTACAGGCTCGCGCACGACGGCACGCTCTCTCTGCACGTGAGTACTCTACACTCACAGGCGCGCGTCGCCCGCCGCTGGGCCACCGCCATGCTGCACGTGCGCCTGCACCTCGCCTACAGGCTCGCGCACGACGGCACGCTCTCTCTGCACGTGAGTACTCTACACTCACAGGCGCGCGTCGCCCGCCGCTGGGCCACCGCCATGCTGCACGTGCGCCTGCACCTCGCCTACAGGCTCGCGCACGACGGCACGCTCTCTCTGCACGTGAGTACTCTACACTCACAGGCGCGCGTCGCCCGCCGCTGGGCCACCGCCATGCTGCACGTGCGCCTGCACCTCGCCTACAGGCTCGCGCACGACGGCACGCTCTCTCTGCACGTGAGTACTCTACACTCACAGGCGCGCGTCGCCCGCCGCTGGGCCACCGCCATGCTGCACGTGCGCCTGCACCTCGCCTACAGGCTCGCGCACGACGGCACGCTCTCTCTGCACGTGAGTACTCTACACTCACAGGCGCGCGTCGCCCGCCGCTGGGCCACCGCCATGCTGCACGTGCGCCTGCACCTCGCCTACAGGCTCGCGCACGACGGCACGCTCTCTCTGCACGTGAGTACTCTACACTCACAGGCGCGCGTCGCCCGCCGCTGGGCCACCGCCATGCTGCACGTGCGCCTGCACCTCGCCTACAGGCTCGCGCACGACGGCACGCTCTCTCTGCACGTGAGTACTCTACACTCACAGGCGCGCGTCGCCCGCCGCTGGGCCACCGCCATGCTGCACGTGCGCCTGCACCTCGCCTACAGGCTCGCGCACGACGGCACGCTCTCTCTGCACGTGAGTACTCTACACTCACAGGCGCGCGTCGCCCGCCGCTGGGCCACCGCCATGCTGCACGTGCGCCTGCACCTCGCCTACAGGCTCGCGCACGACGGCACGCTCTCTCTGCACGTGAGTACTCTACACTCACAGGCGCGCGTCGCCCGCCGCTGGGCCACCGCCATGCTGCACGTGCGCCTGCACCTCGCCTACAGGCTCGCGCACGACGGCACGCTCTCTCTGCACGTGAGTACTCTACACTCACAGGCGCGCGTCGCCCGCCGCTGGGCCACCGCCATGCTGCACGTGCGCCTGCACCTCGCCTACAGGCTCGCGCACGACGGCACGCTCTCTCTGCACGTGAGTACTCTACACTCACAGGCGCGCGTCGCCCGCCGCTGGGCCACCGCCATGCTGCACGTGCGCCTGCACCTCGCCTACAGGCTCGCGCACGACGGCACGCTCTCTCTGCACGTGAGTACTCTACACTCACAGGCGCGCGTCGCCCGCCGCTGGGCCACCGCCATGCTGCACGTGCGCCTGCACCTCGCCTACAGGCTCGCGCACGACGGCACGCTCTCTCTGCACGTGAGTACTCTACACTCACAGGCGCGCGTCGCCCGCCGCTGGGCCACCGCCATGCTGCACGTGCGCCTGCACCTCGCCTACAGGCTCGCGCACGACGGCACGCTCTCTCTGCACGTGAGTACTCTACACTCACAGGCGCGCGTCGCCCGCCGCTGGGCCACCGCCATGCTGCACGTGCGCCTGCACCTCGCCTACAGGCTCGCGCACGACGGCACGCTCTCTCTGCACGTGAGTACTCTACACTCACAGGCGCGCGTCGCCCGCCGCTGGGCCACCGCCATGCTGCACGTGCGCCTGCACCTCGCCTACAGGCTCGCGCACGACGGCACGCTCTCTCTGCACGTGAGTACTCTACACTCACAGGCGCGCGTCGCCCGCCGCTGGGCCACCGCCATGCTGCACGTGCGCCTGCACCTCGCCTACAGGCTCGCGCACGACGGCACGCTCTCTCTGCACGTGAGTACTCTACACTCACAGGCGCGCGTCGCCCGCCGCTGGGCCACCGCCATGCTGCACGTGCGCCTGCACCTCGCCTACAGGCTCGCGCACGACGGCACGCTCTCTCTGCACGTGAGTACTCTACACTCACAGGCGCGCGTCGCCCGCCGCTGGGCCACCGCCATGCTGCACGTGCGCCTGCACCTCGCCTACAGGCTCGCGCACGACGGCACGCTCTCTCTGCACGTGAGTACTCTACACTCACAGGCGCGCGTCGCCCGCCGCTGGGCCACCGCCATGCTGCACGTGCGCCTGCACCTCGCCTACAGGCTCGCGCACGACGGCACGCTCTCTCTGCACGTGAGTACTCTACACTCACAGGCGCGCGTCGCCCGCCGCTGGGCCACCGCCATGCTGCACGTGCGCCTGCACCTCGCCTACAGGCTCGCGCACGACGGCACGCTCTCTCTGCACGTGAGTACTCTACACTCACAGGCGCGCGTCGCCCGCCGCTGGGCCACCGCCATGCTGCACGTGCGCCTGCACCTCGCCTACAGGCTCGCGCACGACGGCACGCTCTCTCTGCACGTGAGTACTCTACACTCACAGGCGCGCGTCGCCCGCCGCTGGGCCACCGCCATGCTGCACGTGCGCCTGCACCTCGCCTACAGGCTCGCGCACGACGGCACGCTCTCTCTGCACGTGAGTACTCTACACTCACAGGCGCGCGTCGCCCGCCGCTGGGCCACCGCCATGCTGCACGTGCGCCTGCACCTCGCCTACAGGCTCGCGCACGACGGCACGCTCTCTCTGCACGTGAGTACTCTACACTCACAGGCGCGCGTCGCCCGCCGCTGGGCCACCGCCATGCTGCACGTGCGCCTGCACCTCGCCTACAGGCTCGCGCACGACGGCACGCTCTCTCTGCACGTGAGTACTCTACACTCACAGGCGCGCGTCGCCCGCCGCTGGGCCACCGCCATGCTGCACGTGCGCCTGCACCTCGCCTACAGGCTCGCGCACGACGGCACGCTCTCTCTGCACGTGAGTACTCTACACTCACAGGCGCGCGTCGCCCGCCGCTGGGCCACCGCCATGCTGCACGTGCGCCTGCACCTCGCCTACAGGCTCGCGCACGACGGCACGCTCTCTCTGCACGTGAGTACTCTACACTCACAGGCGCGCGTCGCCCGCCGCTGGGCCACCGCCATGCTGCACGTGCGCCTGCACCTCGCCTACAGGCTCGCGCACGACGGCACGCTCTCTCTGCACGTGAGTACTCTACACTCACAGGCGCGCGTCGCCCGCCGCTGGGCCACCGCCATGCTGCACGTGCGCCTGCACCTCGCCTACAGGCTCGCGCACGACGGCACGCTCTCTCTGCACGTGAGTACTCTACACTCACAGTAAAATGCGCAAAGAGATGCAACATCTCTACGCAGTGCCAGTATATCGAGCCGATCAGAGAGAACTCGGTCGACGACGATTCGAACCGCTCTGTGCTGGATGCGGTCAAGTGGAAGGAGCTGGCACTGGGGTGCCCCGGCCCAGAGATGAGAACAGTATTTCATGTGGGGCAGAACTTGCGCTTTGTAAAGTCGCAAACGATGTGCCGGCATAAAATACTGTCTCGCTCTGCTGAGCACGCCTGACCACGAAACTGCACACTATTCGATATGTCGACGCCAAGGATTCCGATTCTAGCTGAGGCAGCAAGGGGAGTGCCTTGAAACTGAGGAGATACGACAAAGGGGTTCTTTTTAGCGGTAAATGCGCAAACTTGTGTCTTCTGGGGATTGAACTGGACTAGATTTTGTCGGCCCCAATCTGAGACTTTGTTAACCAAAGACGCGACTTCAGACACAAGTTTGTCCCGGTTTTCGGCGACGTTTTCCCGAGAAATATTGGCACGGCCGGTATATAAGGCATCACCAGTGCTGTCGTCTGCATAGCAATGAATGCTACCAGTTAGCAACATATCATTGATATGCAGGAGAAACAGCGTTGGTGATAGCACGCAGCCTTGTGGAACACCAGCGTTGATAGGCTTGAAATCAGAGCATGCACCGTCTACTACGACCTTGATGCTCCGATCAACAAGGAAACTGGTGATCCATTTGCACAATTTCTCGGGAAGCCCATAGGAAGGAAGCTTCGAAAGAAACGCTTTGTGCCAGACCCGATCGAAGGCCTACTGCCTCCGCCTATCTATGAGTCAGATAGACTAGAAGATCACCAGCTGATCGACCTCGACGAAAACCGTACTGGCGGTCACTAATCAGCTAGTGATCCTCAAGGTACCTCATGAGCTGGCAGTTTATAATGGATTCCATTATATTGGAGAACAAGGAGGTGATGGCGATAGGCCTGTAGTTGGACGGGTCTGAGCGGTCGCCTTTTTTAGGGATCGGGTGGACTAAAGCTGTCTTCCATGAATTCGGGACTACGCCTTGGGAGTAGGAGTATCGGAAAAGACGCGTTAAAAGCGGTGCCAACTCCGGATCACACGTCTTCAGCACAATGGGAGGGACTCCATCGGGCCCACTCGACTTGCTGACGTCCAGGGAGAAGAGTGCTTTGCGAACCGAGCGCTGTGTAAACCGCACATCCGGCATGGAGCACTCACACCGCGGGATGGGCGGCGGTGTGTTCTCCCCGTCATCTAGAGTCGAGTTGGACGCAAAAAGAGAGCTCAACAGATCGGCTTTCTCCTTTGCGGCATGGGCCAGTGAGTCGTCCTCTCTGTGCAGAGATGGAAGAGATGGCTGACAGAAGTTCCCTTGGACAGCCTTGGCGAGAGACCAGAATGCACGGTGTAGCGGACGGCGAAGGAGGCCGCCGCCCCGTCGCCCCTTCACACCCCGTTTCGCCCCGCGCACCCCGCACACCGGCAGCAGATCACGCGACGTCGCCGACCAATCAGCGCGCGGCATCGCCTTACGACGCTACTCACAAACCGAGACGCTCTCTTGCGGGATATAAGAAGGGCGTTTTGGTCTGTGAGTCGTTCATTTCGAGAGCGGCACTAGAAGAAACTACAAGAGAAGAAACCTCAAGACAAATCCAGAAGACTCCCCTTTGTACATAGTTTATTAGTGCCACATTTGTAAATAGTTGAATACAGTATAGTTCTACAGTACCATCTTTTCTTTGAGCAGTCCCCTAGCGTAGTCAGTCATACAATACAGTCCATTAACAACAAGTAAATTCATACAGTCCACTTCGATCCACTATACACGGGTTCCCAAAGGAAGGCGAACTAGCTTCTCGCCAATTCTGCCGATGTGCTCAGACCTTGCCTTGGCAATGACGCTTTTGAAGGACCTGGAGGCAGAATTATACTTCTTTTTAAGTGCGCTGGTGTTTACATCCCGAGACGTTGATGCGTCAGCCCAGGCCCGGTAGCACTCCTGCTTATAGCGTGATGCTATGTTACAGGAGCGACCAAACCATGGCTAGGATCTGCCTCCGATGGGCACCACAGAAGATTGAATAAAAAGTTCCATACCCTGAAGTACCACATCAGCAACAGAATCGGCAACAACGCTGGCATCTTCCGGCGAGAAGCAAACCCGCCCCCAAGGGTAGGATGCAAAAAAAGACCGCATCTAAGGACCTACCTAGTCAGGTCATAAGTATTGTCACACAGTAAAAACTTTTCTTTTAGAATGCTGGCCACAAAAAAGTTTATTGAATTCGAATTTCGAATTGTTCATGAAAATAAAACTGTATACTTTTTAGAATTTTACTCATTTTTAAATATGGAGTGGACGCTTAAAGAAGACCGTGTTGCAGTTATTGCGTTGCATCGTTGCGGTTACACGCCAATTCAAATATTTGACATACTGAAAAATTTGAATATAACCAAAAGATTCATTTATCGTACCATCAAACGATACAATGAAGACGTGTAGATGACAGGTCAAGAAGTGGTCGCCCTCGGTCTGTTAGGACTCCAGCAGTGATAAAAGCTGTGAAGGCGCGAATTCAAAGAAATCCCAAACGTAAGTAGAAACTGTTGGCCCTTCAGATGGGGTTAAGCAAAACCACGGTGAAAAGGGTGTTAAATGAAGACTTCGGGCATATCGAAGAAAAACAGGACATCGTTTGAGTGCTCGTCTAATGGACCTGAGACTGAAGAGATGCCGCGCTTTGTTGAAGCGGTACGCGGGAAAAAAATATCGGGAAATTCTTTTTTCGGATGAAAAAATTTTTACCGTAGAAGAGAGCTACAACAAACAAAATAATAAGGTGTACGCACACAATAGTGAAGAAGCGAGCAACCGTATTCCGCGTGTCCAACGAGGTCATTTTCCATCCTCGCTCATGATATGGTTGGGAGTTTCTTATTGGGGCTTAACAGAGGTACATTTTTGTGAGAAAGGTGTAAAAACGAATGCAGTTGTGTATCAAAATACAATCCTGACGAACCTTGTGGAACCTGTTTCTCATACCATTTTCAATAACAGGCACTGGGTATTCCAACAAGATTCGGTGCCAGCTCATAGAGCGAAGAGCACACAAGATTGGCTGGCGGTGCGTGAAATCGACTTCATCCGGCACGAAGACTGGCCCTCCTCCAGTCCAGATTTGAATCCGTTAGATTACACGATATGGCAACACTTGGAGGAAAAGGCGTGCTCAAGGCCTCATCCCAATCTGGAGTCACTCAAGACATCCTTGATTAAGGCAGCCGCCGATATTGACATGGACCTTGTTCGTGCTGCGATAGACGACTGGCCGCACAGATTGAAGGCCTGTATTCAAAATCACGGAGGTCATTTTGAATAAACTTTAGTGTCATAAGAATCTATGTTTTGTTAAGTTCATTTTGGTATATAAATGGTTACATAATGAATAAACTTGTTTCAATTATTTTATATTAAACATGTGATCGAATTTATGACCTGACTAGGTATAGTGCCAAACACGGCGGCAAGCTGCAGATCGCAACTGCGATTGGAGCGTGAGTGGCACCGTACTCCGGATCAGACAATGGTCCGAGGAGCCCAGAGGGGCATCGACGGAGACCTGACATCCGTCCGGATGAAAGGTCAGCAGAAGGTCCAACAGGGAAGGTACATGGTCTTCCACATCTGGGATCCGCGTAGGCGAAGTAACCAGTTGTGTTAGACCATATGCTAAAGCAAAGTCATAGACAGATCTACCCGCATGATCGGTTAAACGAGAACCAAGCCATTCAGCGTGGTGGGCGTTAAAATCACCGAGGATCACGATCTCTGCGGATGGGACCTGTTGTAGCACGGAGTCTGCAGCCATTTGGACGTGGTCGATGAGTCGGTCTGTGTCGGCATTACCGCTATGGGACCTATAGAGGCACCCGTAGACGCGGGGATGGTCGTCGCTGTCTACGCGCAGCCATAGGATGGACAGGTCCGTACCTTCAAGACTGCCGAGGCGTCTAAAACGGATGTCCTCTCTGACGTATACGCAAACTCCAGCCCGGGGCACAAAGGAGTGTTCCAATTTGTACCCCGGGTAGGAGAGATATGAAGTATCAGCCGGAGAGGACACCTGAGTCTCGCTTAAAAAGAGCAAGGCCGGCTTCGCCGTCTCTAGACGGTAATGGACAGCGTTAAGGTTGGAATGAAGTCCCCTGATGTTGCAAATATTCACGAATAGCGTGACAGGGGTTGTATTGCTCCGCTTGCCCCGAGCAGCATTAGTCGCGAGCGGAATTTTGCCAGCGGAATTTTACGCGGGGCAGCCTGAGCACCCACGCTCAGGAGTGAAGTAGTTTGGTCGTGGATGCTCAGCGAGGGATTCTCCAGGGGTGCTGGTACCCTCCTGGGGTAGTCTTTTATTTAATTCCACTACCATGTTGATGGGGGGAGGGGGGGAATTGGGCCTCCGGCCACCTGCACTTACCAAGTGCAACGCAGAGGTAAACCTCTACTTCACGCTGGTATTCTGTGAGGTCGTGGTACCACCCCGGTTCGAGCTGGCCCATCCGTGCGACAGCAAAAGCTACCGCTTAGCTCTACCACTGTTAAAAAGTGTCTGCGCATGTGAGCTATTAGTCGAAACGGTGAAACATGTGCTCTAATGGTGATATGATTCTCAAGATAAGGTGACTGTCTGCTTAGGCGCCTTGAGATACCATCGCCAAGTGTCAGCTGTCTGCTAGCTCAAGTTGCCGTCAAAATCTCCCAAGGGCTGCACATTGTGACGCATCAACATATTGTGCAGCAGTGTACTATGAAGGATAACTATATATTGTAACTTCAGGCTCAGAAGGGCTAGAACCCAGAGCCGTAAAACCAGTTATAAAAGAAAGGTACGCACGCACGCACACAGTTTCACCGTTATGCCTCGAAAAGTAAGTAAAGCCTGATGGACTTGCGCCTGGTTTCCTGCATTCTCAATCTTAATTAAGAATAAATGTACATGTCTATGGGCCAAAGCATCCACTTACCATTAGGTGGTGTGCTTGTTTGTCACCCTTATTCTATAAAAAAAAATATTACGCGGCGGTAAACCGCAGTAGTAATTTGTACCTCTGGTGGTAATCGTTTGCCGGTGAGAATAATTCTGCTACTGTTCCATGTTTATTCTTGATAATAATATTTTTACCCCAAAAGAATAATAATATATACTAAAAATCGAATAACACTACTAGGTGGTACCCTCTTACCTATTTATGCCGCCAAATTGCAGTGTCTTCACTGCTATGTCACTGATATACCATAAACACCAAATGCAGTCTGTAAGTTTTTGCGTTGATACATGTATTTTTTTTTATATCAATTTCGAGCCATATAGTGGAGGCGTGAGAGGATCCACAACCCGAGCAAATTATGAGATGCTGTGGATGTTGTGAGAGGTGACAGAGGGAAACTGAAACAGGAGATATGCAGTAGCACCTTCCTGATAACAACACAATAAAAAAAATTGTGGTTGACAAATTGCCTTGTGGTAACTATTGAAAATATTCTCCTTATGAGGCAATCGATGGGGGAGGATTGTTTTTTTTTTTTTATAGGATAGGGTGACAAACGAGCACACACTTCAACTGATGGTAAATTGTTGCTGTGGTCCATAGACATCTACATCTATCCTCCATTACGAATCAAAATGTAGATGCGTTGTCACCCATGGGGACTAAGATGGAATGCTTCTTTTCCAGTAAAAAGGGTCTCTGATTCTCTACACTCACCATACGAAACACAGCGTCGTTATGCTGCTATTTTACGCTGATATTCTGTGAGAGCGTGGTCCTTTCTCGGTCGAGCCGGCTCATTCGTGCTACAACTATACCAGTAACATAGCTGCAGCGTGGTTCTACCACGTATAAAATATATTACGTATATTATGTTCATCAGTAGACTTGTGAAGGGCTGTGATGAATAAATGAATGGAAACATGTAGTAAAATGAAAAATTTTGTACAACAGACTTCTATATAACAACTTTGACAGAAATGATGGTGTACCGTGGTATACTGAACATATCTGCGTACCTCTTTAGAGGGTACAGGCATGATGCTATGTTGTGTGATTGCGTAAACAATGCATAGATATGCGATAGCAACAATCGCGGTGGATTTGCTGGCATTTATTAAACAGTTCCGTTCTCTGTCCTCGAAACTCATCATGATATCTTTACAAAATTTAAATGGGACCATTTCGGGATAAACCGCTTTCGAAAAGAAAATGTTTTTTTAAATCTTTGCAAATCCTATATGTGCAATATGTGACAGAGTTATACCCGAACATACATTAAAAAGAATATCCGAATTCAGATCCTCCTCCTTTTTTAAAATCGGTTAAAATATCAATTGCAGGTGGCGAACATCCCGTTGCGCTGCGTGTGGGAAGTGGCGATGCGCCTAGAGTTGGTGATTGAAGACGCTCGCCAGGCGGTGTGGCCGCGCGCCGGACACGTGCACGTGCGTGACGTCACACACGGGCATGACGTCACGAAGGTGAAGGAAGACGTGGAACGCCTGCTCACACGGGTGCCGCACGACTGGGGGCACGTGCCGAATACTATATGGTTAGTGGAATACTTGAACACGCCCATAATGAACCGCGAGGTCTGCATTGTATGCACGTATACATTTTGCGGTATGCGTGCAACTCAAGTTCTATCTCCGCCTATACTACTGAAATGCAATTTTAAATTGTTTAAATAGAAAATATTAGAAGATAACCTGTACATCTTTTGATTCTTCTTACTTTTCAGCTGTTAATTTCTTTTTTCACTTTACAATATAAGGGATACAGAAAAGGAAAGGGCCTATTAACAAAAACAATAATTCATTTTTTAAATATATTATTTAAATTTTTATGCACAAAAAATAGTACATAATATGGCGAACTTCGTTCCAATAATCGTAAATAATGACTAATTAATTACAGTGCCTCGTACGGTACTCTGTGTTCAACAATGAACTTCTGTAGGCTGTAAAGGATGGATTGTTGGAAGATAGTTATAATGCCATATGTCGGACACTTTAATATTTTTTTACATTTCCTATGAGGCGAAATCGATTCCCTTACCTTATTACACGGCACGTTTTGCGTAACAAATAGCTTATATTTTTTTAACTATTCTGATATTTACCACGTGCTCGACGGTGAAGGAAATCATAGTGAGGAAACCTGCATGTCTGAGAGATAACAAAAGATATTTCGAAGATATTTGTGAAGTCCGCCAACACGCATTGGGGCAGCGTGGCGGACATTTCCTTGCCCTAAAACCCTCTCAGAAGTGAGAGGAGGCCTGTGCCCAACAGTGGTACGTCTACGTATATAGGCTATAACTAACTTTAACTTTATCCTAAGCCAGTGCTGACTACTATCCTACCTGATGCTAAGTGGTGATGCAGCCTAATATGGTAAAGCGTACAGACATATTTAATAACTTCGTCGTGGTCTAAAATTGACCAGGTAGATAATATTGGTACAAGTTTGCCTGTCTTAATTAACCATGACTACTTTAAATTGTAATTTATTTATTTCGGTCCGCTCTTTGCAGAAGGAACTTATAGTATCTTGAATCTTGCTTAAGATAGTACCTATGCTTGGGTTGGGGTTTAATTTTATTAATTATAGGATCCTAAACAGACGATAGCACTCAGTAATGTTTTGCCTTTGGTTAGTAATCCGTGTTCTTTCGCGAGGATTTGTGGTTTATCAAATCTGACTTTAAAATATATTTTCACTGTACGTTATAAATAAAAATTATACTTAAAAAAGCAGTGGTGCCAGCCCCTGAAATGGCAAATGGGTTTTTTGTAAAATATTGAACACACCCAAACTTTTACGGCTCCATTGCTTGTATTTAAACCTAAGACAGTATGACTACTATAGTTATTTATAATGGTATTTTTTCATTACAGGAAAGTTTTCAGGTACCTGAAGAACAAGACGAAAGACAACGAACTGCTTGGAATTTAGCATTAGTCGAATACAACACTTATGTTTGGTTTGAACAAACATTGCATTAAGAAGATTTAATTCATAAGGATGTTTTCTCAACAATCGAAATGCTGGCTACTTTTTAAATATTGCATCTATAAAACTCAGGGACGTAATTTGTTGAATTTGTTCCTTTATTTAATAATAATGTTTGATAAAGTTTTTATGTACCAGACAGAAATGAGATGAAAGAGAGTGAAGCAATAAAAAGTAATAAAAGATATGTTATAAAGGTGTTGTTTAATTTAATTTTTCACATTATTTAAGAACAGGTTCTTAAACATTAGTTTTTGTTATTACAAATAACTTTTGTGTTTTTCGCGCCATAACGCCATTTTCCATCAAGAAAACGTCTCGCTGAAGACAGCTCCACAACCGGTCGCGTGCTCAAGGCATTGCACCTTAGATGGCCGGATTATCTACAAAATAACGGAAATAAAGTTTAATAATATTTATATTATAATTTTATTTGACCATGTGGTGGGTGGTGATGTACCTAGTAGTGTCGTATTTTCAGTACAAACTGGACACTAGAAACTAAACAAAAGAGGGCAGCACCGTCGTCTCAAGAACAAGGTTGTCAACCCGCCTGTTTTTTTTTTGCGCCCAGAAGCGTTTGATTCGTCGATAGGCACTCGATAGAGTAACACGTACCTAAGTGATCTATTATTATTCTTTTTTTTTTTTCTAAGTACCCACAGATATGGTCAATATGACTCAGTGTGATCAATGTAATAAGAATATTACCAAAACAAGGCCTGGCGTGGAGTGCAATCGCTGTGAAAAATTGGTACATCTGAGCACAGCATGTGCTGGTCTTACCAACAAGCAGGTATCTGCACTACGCGCAACGGACAGCCTAGAATGGACGTGCCAGGACTGCCACAATCAATCGCCAAAAACACGTTCAATCGTAGTCCCAGAAGATGACGATGATGAACCTCGAGTAGCTTCGTCTGCTGGTAATTTTCAAATTGACATTAAAAATCTGCTGGAGGACATTTCGAAAGAAATGCAAAAGACTATAAGAAGGGAAATAAAAGACATACATCAGACACTCCAGTTCCATACAGAAAAAGTAGACGAAGCCATGGAGAACCTAGAAGCTTGCCAAAAAACAATTATTGAACTGAAAAAGAAAAATATCGAACTTACGAATAAAAATAGTAATTTGGAAACTAGGTTAGCAGCCATCGAGCAACGCATGCAAGATATGGAGCAACACAAGCTTGCTATGTGTGTTGATATTGTTAATTTAACCCAAAAAGACAATGAAGATCCCAGACAATGAAGGTGATTGCTCAAGAGATAGCAGGTAAGCTAAAACAACCTACTAGCGACGTCATTCATGCTGAACGTTTACCTGGCAAGAAAGAACATCCAGGACCAATAAGGGTTCAATTAAAATTACAAATCACTCAAGATAAATGGTTGGAGACATACAAACAAATAACCAAAAAAATCCCTGTCCCTGCTGCCAAGGGAGTCATAACAGAGCAAGCTAAAAGCGATGTCGAAACTACTTCGCTAGGATTTAAGTCAATAATAATCAGAGAAGCTTTGACAGCCTACAACAAACACTTACTATGGAACGCGAAGCAAGAACTTAAGAGTACCTTTAAATATATATGGATGAAGAAGGGAGTTCTTCGTGTACGCAAAGAAGGGCAGAATGAAAAACCTATCATCATCCACTCTATAAATGATATTAAACAGCTGAGAGAATAAATATGTATTTATATATTATAAGCTAATAATACGTTAAAATTGTGTATGAGTACTTTTTCCTTAATGAATAGCTTACACTCCGATATAACAGAGATTAAAAACTGTATCGATGTCCAAACCTTTATAAATAATTTACCTAGTAATATTAATCTATCTTGTTTACATATTAATATGCGTTCACTAATAAAAAAAAATTCTGCTCTTGAGGAAAGAATTATTTCATGTACGAAATTAATAGATGTAATAATTGTTACTGAAGCAAATATATCATCATCACTCAGCTCTTTGTACCAGATGGAAGGGTATAATATGTACACAGAGTTGCGAAATAATCGTAAAGGAGGAGGTATTATTATGTACATTCATAAAAAACATAAATTTAGAGTTCATAATAAAAAAACACGCTACTTTGAATGCATTTTAGGCCAAATAACCACCCCAAATAAATATTCCGCAACTCTGTTAGCAATATAACGCCCACCCTCATTTAGTAAACACTTGTTTATAAATCAATTACACTGCACACATAAAACTGTAAATAAGAATCACGACTTATTTATGTTAGGTGATGTAAACATAGATCTTAAAATAAGTAGTCCTATAAAACATAAATATAATACTGCATTGTACAACTATGGTCTAATGTGCGGAATCTCACAATATACAAGAATTGAAATCGCTAACTGCAAATTAAGCAAGACTTGTATCGATCATATCTATGCGAGATCCCGCACACAAGGCGTGTATACAGCGGCTCTCGGTACTCAACTGGCTGACCACCGTGCAATAGTTTTAGCATGCATCGGAACTGGCAGAGTGCGTACACAGGCTGTTCAAACTTTTAAGGGAAAATATAATAATAAAGTACTTGTTTCGCAATTACAGGATATCGACTGACAAAATACTAAACATATCTTTTGTCCTTTGAAATTGTATTCTTTGATATTAAAAAACATTAAGACATGTTATAATAAATCGCTAATACAAATTAAAATTAAAAATGATTACATACGTAATAACAATAATTGGATGAATAAAAAAATACATACGGCATGCAACTATAGAGACAAATTATTTATAAAATGGCTTAAAGATACAAATAATAAAATATTAAAATTGGAATACAATAAAGCTAGAAATTACGCTAATAAAATTATACAAGAATATAAAAACAAATATATAAAATCTGAAATTATTAACAACAAAAAGGATATAAGAAATCTATGGGTCATTCTAAATAAAATTACAGGCAAAGTCGTTGTTTCAGTAGATAACGTTATAAGAAATGGTATGGAAACGACCGACATCGCAAATAATTTTGCGAAAACATTTAGTGATAGCGTAAAAAATATTACACCCAAATGTAACATTACTATCTGGATTCAGCTAGATACCGCCGTCCAGCTAACCTCTCTATTAGATTTCAAAAAGCTACTGCAGGATCTGTTAACAAAATTATCCATTCATTAAGTACTAAAAAAGCTCCTGGGTTTGATGAAATAAGAATTATTGATGTTAAAAATATAAGTGATAAAATTGCACCCATTATAGCTAATCTTATAAATATATCTGTGCAAAATGGTACATATCCAGCAGAGCTAAAAACAGGTATAGTACGTCCAATCTATAAAAAAGGTAGTCCTAAAGATTATGATAACTATTGTCCAATCACGATACTGCCAATAATTGATAAAATTATTGAAAAATTTATCACTCGACAAATACTAAACTTCTATTCAGACAACAGTATCATAACAGAAAAACAGTTTGGCTTCCAACCTAAAAAAAGCACTACACAACTATTAAGTAAATTTTCAGATTCCATCTACACACATCTTAATAATAAAAAACATGTCCTAGTTGTATTCGTCGATTACAGCAAGGCTTTTGATACCCTGCGGCACAGTACGCTTATAGAAAAACTTAATGACTGTGGAGTAAGAGGCCCTCTCAACAAATGGTGTCAGAATTATATGCAAGACAGAACCCTATATATCAAGGTTGGAAAGGAACTCAGCTCTTATGGTGAGAGTATCAGAGGGCACAGCACAGGAATCTGTTTTGGGGCCAGTGCACTACATCACATATGTTAACGATCTGATTAACCTGATTAACAACTGTGAAATCTGTCAATTTGCAGACGACACATGTTTAGTATCCGCAGACGTTAACATAAATGTCGCACTACATCGGCTCCAAACGCACTTCACCCTTCTAACATAGTGGTCCCATGATAGTGGGCTTGTTCTTAACGCCAACAAAACTAAGCTTATGTATATCAGCTCCAGCCAAAATAGGATTAATACAAGTCCTCAATTAATCGTCCACGATCACGCTTGCCTTCACTCAGACCATATCAACTGCGCATGTGAACCCGTAGAAGTAGTAAAAACGCAAAAATATCTTGGACTAGTCATTGATGACCGCTTTAAATGGACCGATCATATTAACTCTGTTTGCGATAAATTGAGAGCAATTTTGGCAAAATTTTTACTAATTAAATGGAAAATACCCTTTTCAACGAAAATGCTGCTGTACAAAGCATTAGGAGAATCTGTCATATCCTACGGGCTGAGTAGTTATGGACGGACATACAAATCGCACCTAGACCTAATTTATCAACTCCAGCTAAGAATTCTTAAAGCCATTGTATCACCTCACGTAAGAGACAAGTACAGAAACAATTATGATGGTCTATTTAGTTACTGTAAGATTATTCCCGTCCATGAGAAAGTTAAATTAACTTTACTCAACGAACAGTATTTTAATAAAGATATACAACACTTAATTGATCATAAAAACAGACTCGCAGTGTGTCAAAGGCTTTGCTGACAATACCACGATCTCAAAATCATTACGGAAGACAACGACTTGCCTATATTATACCCAAACTAATAAATGAATTACACTTTACACTTAAAAATGACATTACTATGCAAAATATAAAAAGAAAATTAAAACTACATTATTTAGATGAAATAAAAAAGCATCTTACTAAATAACTATATCATATTTATGTAAGTAAAAAATGTACATATTATACATAAATATCGATGATATTCTATGTGTTATAATACTACATTATCAAAACGGAGATTAACTAGCAACCATAGTACAGTTAAAATCTACCGCTTGTTAACATCCCTGTGTACGTTCATTTGCTAGCCGGTTTTGTGCGTCTGAGTAATGACATATTTCTACCCGTGAATATACGTATTGTGAGCGTGTGGATCTTCGCTACGATTTTAAAGCATGTTATAAGTATTTACCGTAATATATAAGAGACAGTGTCCGTACGTAGGTTAAGCAGCACCGAGTGCCGTCAATGAAGCATGGTGTACAGATAAACCTTGTTAGGTTTTTGCGACACCGTGTTTGATTAATTTAAGCTTTTTTTTATGTTGATTTATTAAATAATAAAAAAAAGCAATTGGAAAATGGGCTATCCCGACACGCAGGGAGGCGGTAAATGCTTTATGCATACCACGACAGCCGGTCTGTCGTGGTTATGTGGGACTCACTGTGACTACCTACTGGGACCCTAAGTGATACCCACTAAACTCCACTTTGGGGACTGACAATTGGCCGATTAAGCCGCTTTGTCGGATCGGAAGCGACCCTCTTTTGAGAGAAGAGGGCGCAGACAGCTACAAAGAGCCGCTGAGGAAGAGCCTACTTAGGCAAATTTAAGAAGAATCGGCCTGAGCCGCCAGGAGGCAGTTCAGGTCGGTTGAAATTTTATTTGGCGGGCGCCTGCCGAGCGCGGCAACAATATACGATAGGTATAGCAAAATAAGATCGTCCAGTTATTCAACAGTTATTATTTTGCTGTCGTCCGGCGACAAAATTGAGATATAATGTACTACGTACTAAAGGAGACGCCTCAACTCGATTGTTTGTAACACGCGTTATGGCGCCTCCACACGCTTGGTGTTTGTCACAAACACCATTCACGTACAAACACCGACCACATTCACCCAACACAAACACGGCATCCACACGCTTGGCGAACGTGCTAGTATATTCCGGATAGGCAAACATGACGGATTGCGAGCTTGTGGCAGCGATTAATTTCGGGTTGACCTATTTTTATTTAAAAATAAGGCAAAATGAAATTAAACGAAAAAGAAGGAAAAGAAGACGATGGTGGATGATCAAAATTCACAAAAATCGTACAAGGTAACTACAGTATACCTAGTAACTCAATTTTAATTATTTATTATTTCAAGGTTTATATACATTTTTACATATCAATGTCATATACTTTTACCTCATGATATAATTTGTTTTTCTTTTGTTTTAGAAAATTTATAGAAGAAAAATTTTATGAGCTTCTTTATGAACCATCTGGAGAGTTTCATAACTTTTGCCGCATGAGTTTTGCAGATTTTGACCATTTGCTAAACAAAATTTCTCCTATAATTTATAAGAAAGATACAGACTTTCGAGAAGCCATACCAGCTAAATATCGTCTTGCAATAACATTAAGATTCATCGCATCTGGTGACAGTTATAAAAGTTTACACTACTTATTTAAAGTATCCCCCCAAATAATATCAAAAATTATACCTGAAGTCTGCAAAGCTATTAACGAAGTTCTGAATAATGAAGTAAAGGTAAAGTATTTTTGTATATTAAAAAATAACAAGAATAGTATATTTATTTAAAAGTAGGTATAGAATTTTTAGAACAGGAGTTTATCATCATAAATAAAACATTATTTTAGAAATTACGTAGAAATGTAATTGAATTCAGTTATATTAAAAACTAATTAGGTACAATAGGTAATTAAGTAAATTAACAAATAGAACATATGTGAAATAATATTATATAAAGGTCCTATCGAAACAGTAGGAACTTTAAGGGCATGTTCAGTTCATGAAACTAAACAACTTTTTCTTGTATTATTATTGAAATTGTATTAGAATAAAAACTTATCAACATAATTATTTTTACATAATCTCGCTTTGTTTTGTGAGAGTATTTTTTATTATTACTACATTACTATCAACTAGTTTTGTTGAACCCTATATACATATGTATATATTCATTTTTCATATGAATCAAAATTTTCATAGGCCTTCAGTAATGCTTCACTAATAATGTTTTGTCCTTTTGGTGGTACTACTACTTCTTCTGATGTAATATGAGTTCTAAAATTTGAGGGGTCCGGTTGGGTTATATAAAAGGTTTGAATGTTGTTTTGAGAAGTGGAAGTAGAATATGACGTTTGGGAGGTTGAAGGAAGGTTTGAAATTGGTGATGTATTTGGCAAAGGTTCGGAATATGACGTTTGGGATGTTGAAGGACGGTTTAGAATCGGTGATGTATTTGGCAAAGGTTCGGAATATGACGTTTGGGATGTTGAAGGACGGTTTAGAATCGGTGATGTATTTGGCAAAGGTTCGGAATATGACGTTTGTGAGGTTGAAGGACGGTTTGCAATCGGTGATGCATTTGGTAACAGTATGGAATATGAGGTTTGGGAGGTTGAAGGATGGTTTGAAATTGGTGATGCATTTGGCAACACTACGGAATATGACGAGTATGGAACTGAGTAATGGGGTGATGGGGTTTGACGCCTAATTAGCCTCTCCTTAATCCTATTAATAAATAAGGTGTCTATATCGTACATAAAAAGTTTCCTATCATCAGGAGGAAGTTCTCTCAATTTTTTTGCTAACAATTTGGAAAATAGGTCGCAATCGTCGTCTTCCTTTGGTTGTGGTGTATGTTCGTTCTGCCTTTTTGTCAAAATATTTGTTAACTGCCCAAAGGCTGATGACATCTGCCGCTCCGCTAAATCGGTTGCGGGGCGACGACGGGAAGTTCCAGGTTTTGGCGTATGGGAAGAAGTTAATGGCTGTGCTAAAGTGTTTTCTTCTCCTTCTTCTATTTCTGTCTCTACAGTTTCATTTGGTATTTCTTGTGATGATGATCCCTGTAAAAATTAAATAGGTAAAACTTACTGTCTTAATTTGTTTTCTTTATAGCTGTACATTTTGTTTTCAGATGCCATCAACAGCAGATGCTTGGATGAATATAGAAAGGGGATATAGGAGCAAATTCCCACACTGTCTCGGTTCCATAGACGGCAAACATATTCTTATAAAAAGCCCACCACATAGTGGAACTGAATATTTCAACTATAAGAAAACGTTTAGCATTGTTCTTTTGGCATTAGTTGACGCCAATTACAAATTTATATATGCAGACATAGGATGCCAAGGGAGAATAAGTGATGGTGGTGTTTTTAATAATTCATTACTATGGCAAAAAATCTGCAGAAATGAAATTGATTTTCCCACGCCATGCCCACTTACTGGATCGGAAATTAATGTGCCATACGTCTTCATCGGAGATGGTGCTTTTGCACTAAGTATGCATGTAATGAAACCCTATCCAGGACAGCATAACGTCGGTTCACCAAAAAGGATATTCAATCAATGTTTATCTGGATCTCGAGTTGTAGTAGAAAACACGTTTGGGATTTTAACTTCAGTGTTTAGAATTTTCCGGCGCCCAATTGATTTAGACCCCAGTACTGTATCAGAAATTACAATGACCTGTGTACTAATACATAACTACCTAAGGAAAAAATCTCCAGAAAGATATACTCCCCCAGGAACGTTTGATCTACTTGATAGTAATGGCAATCTAGTAACACCTGGATCTTGGCGAAGAAACGAAACTGAATATATTGCAATTCAGAATATGCCAAACATACCCCGTAGGTCACCCATACATGCCAAACAGATTAGAGAAGAATTTGCTTCATATTTTTATAGAAGGTCAAGATAGTATATTAATAATTGGCAAAAATATACTATATATACTTATTTTAATCTGTGGAATACATTGTAGTGCATAGTAAATATTAGTTCATATCAGGTAGTAACGAAAGTTATTTAAAGGTATATCAATTATATTTTTATGTACTAGTGACTTAAGAATAAATAAACCATAATGAAAAATTGTACTTTTTCTTACCCACTCTGTATTTATATTTTGTGTGCTGTTATACACCGGGACTAAAAATGACTCCATAAGGTCATATGCAAACCAGATAGGTTTATATGTATCATTAGCTCCTGAAATATAAGTTGAAATGTCAAATACATGCATCATACAATCAGTAGCATCAGAGTAAGTAGGTAATTAAATATTAGGACAAATATGCAGCAAAAGCTAAAACTAACCTGCACCAGATCGAATACTGTCCTTTTTTTTGTTTAGGTGTCTTCTGAACGTAGCCATAAGTATTTCCTTTTTAGATTTTAGTTCATTTACACTTTTATTCATAATAACACAAAGGCGCGTCCACGCATCGTTCACCTTCTTTCTGTTTTTATGGTTAACGTCTTTTGGATTCCATATACATTGTTCATTTTGATAAGACTCTAAAAATAATAGTGTTGTTTCATCAGACCAATCAGACATGTTTCCTTAATAAGTAGGTAAGTACACTTTTATAGAATAAGATGTCACGATTCGTATTTCCGTGTATTGTATCAAAATAATTATTGGTACGCAAAACAAAATACACAATGACAATGGCAGTGGCACCAGGGTGACCATCTTTAAAATACAGATCCTGCCTCACTATGGTTAAAAACCTGCCAAATCCTGCCAAAGTCTATAGTGAAAAATGCCTAAATACTGCCAACTTTATTTACCATTGTATTAAACTAAAAAAAGTAAAAATACACATATAAATGCTATATTTTTTTAATTAAATTTAAACATATCTTTCATTGGTTTGAATGCAATGCAATCGCCATGATCACACATGCCTTGTTTAACGTACAAGATATACAGTAAATGTTTGTTTATAAATCTGTTGTCTTAATAAAAGTTCATTTGAGAGAATATTCTTCCGCATGTTGAATTCACTCATATTTTTTTGATGTTTACTAGTGGCGGCACGCTCCTTTAAAGCGGACAGCCGGGGTGCCAATTTGCAGTTACACAGTCTGGATCATCTTTAGCTTTGGAGATCCATAATGAAAGTAAAAGATCTTACTCCCATTTCGCTCTATACGCCCTTTCATATTTTCGCTTCATCACAGCCACCTATAACCTGTCGGAAATATCTGCGAACCTGGCTTGATGACGTCATGCAATATGGAGAGATAGCAAAAAAAAATCGAGATGCAAAAATGAAATATATTTTTTGTGCGCCTATTTATTTTTATACTTCTATACAACGCCTTAAAATAAATTTAAAATAAAAAATACATTCCTATTAAAAATAAAACTATTTGTATATATCAATGTAACGCTTTTATACCGGAAAAAGTAAATGCAAGAAACCATATTAAGTATAAAAGTTTGTTCTTAGAAATGCTTTTTTTATTAGTTTCTATTCTAGGGTAAGTATAATAAATTAAAATCAAATAATTTTCGAGCCATTTAATTAGCAGGTATTTAACATTAAAATCAATTTTCTTTTTGTATTTTTTACGCTTCTTCCCTGGTGTCAAGAGCATAATAGTGTCCGTGGTAACTGAAGCTGACGTACTAGGTTGTGGGTCTTCTTCGAAGGACGTCATCTCTTCCTGAACATTTGCCTCTTTAGTTGATTCTGACAAAACTTGTAACTTTTTTGCTTCACTTTTTATTTTCATTATGGTCGATTTAGATAAACCAGTTGCTGCACATGCCCTTTTTGTTGCTTGTTCAACCGGGATACTGAAACAGCCTCGTTGTTTTTCATTATCAAAAAATTTAATTACTTTGAGCACTAAATTCCGCTCGGCACTATGTATAGTCTTACCCATCTTGTAAGTAGTCTATTGTAATAATAGTAATATTTCACCAAACAGAGAAACAATAAACAATAATGCGATTACGAAAGCGAGATTAATACACGTGCGTCGGCGCTTGCGTTGGCAACGGTACTGGATAGACGATAACGGGCGGAGGTGCGGGGAAGCGCGAGGGGTAGCGCATTCCAGCGAGGTTCGCAGATATTTCTGACAGGTAGTATAATTGTTATCGTCCACAAAATATTATTAACACGATGTTATCACCATGAAATCTAATACGATACCAAACTAAATTACGTCTCTTTTATGACTGAAATATTTAATTTTAACCAACTTGTGTTAATTCGTTTGAAGATTATCAACTTTATACACAATTTTTTTTAAAGTTGTTTATTGAATGTGATATAAACATAATACGCGAAATTGAGAAATACAGGGAAATTCCCAACATGCTGGCAAAGTATCTAGGGATGCCATTTTCGTCATTTTAAGTTGCCATAATCAAATCTATTTTTAATACCTCAATTCTGCCAAATACTGCCAGGTTTTATAAAACGTCAACCGATCATGCCAGAGGCTAAAATAAGAGGCCAATCCTGCCAAAATGGCAGGAACCTGCCACATATGGTCACACTGAGTGGCACAGACTAGAGCAGTGTTACCAACTTTACCAAATTTTCGGTAGATGTACCAACTTTTACTATCTAACTTCTATCTACTACCTTGCAAAAAAAATCTATCAACTTTTTATTCGTATTGCATTGCTGATTATTATGTAATACGTGACTCTAAATAAAACAAACTTTTATGAAATTAAAACAAACTTTTATGAAATTAATGCTTGACCGGGGAATCGAACCCTGAACTTTCGTTCGACATTATATTGAATCTATTTACTTTTAACATATATTATCTTTTTATTCGAAGCGCCTTATACAATCTAATAGCAATATTTTCAAAACGCACAATTGTTTATTTTTTATGAAAGGAAAATGATATACTGATTTTTTTAAGCGCTTCGCCAAAACTAATAGTAGTAATGCATATGAGCCGTTTTATTCATAAAATGTTTATTTTTAATAGCTTACAATAACATTTCAAAGTTATTAATGTAGCTAGTCTTAGGTCTTTTCTATGAAAATGTAACGAAATTTTTACTAATCTAAGTGTATTTTATAAGTTGGTCAACTATTACTCGTTAGCTTCTTGATTCTACTTAGCTGTGATAGTTTTCCTTTTAACTGCATTATATAAACTCCTATTAGGTATACTTTTCACATTTCGATAAACATAGGTTAAGTTGGTAGGGGGTGGGGGGGGACACACATGACTCCAATAAAAAATACCACTTTAAAGCTAAATATTTCAGACACAGACCCCTGAATCGAAATGATGTTGTTCAACACCCCCAATGTTTTTGAAAGACCTATCCAACGATACCCCACATGATAGAATAGACACATAAAAAAATCATCCCCCATTTACTTATATGGGAAGTACCCAAAATAAAAATGTTTTTTAAGATTTAATTTCACAGTTTTCTAGGCGTGATTAATATTTATAACTGCCAAGTTACAGATTTGTAACATCTAGGGTCAGAGCAAAACCGCGGACGGACGGACGGACATGGCGAAACTATAAGGGTTTCTTGTTGCGTAACTACGAAAGTCTAAAAACTATTAAATCAGGATATACTAAACTTATCGATATATAGGATATACTAATCTTATATAATTTTTTCGGATTTTATTTTAGGAATTGATGATCAATGATCCTGCTTTCACACGGGGCTCCTTATAAAAAGAGGTGAAATATTTGTTACCCAATAGTCTAATAAAATAAATCTAATAGGTCTCTAGAAAACTTAAAAAAATATAGGTGGTAGATCTACTAACTTTTCGAAGTAGAATTGTTAGGAAACTCAACTTCTGAAATCATATTTACCTCCGCGACAAATGTCGGATTGGTAACATTGGCGTAGAGTATAATAATAATAGCCACTAGTAACGCCTTCCGCCGCCCGCAAGCCGCAAGCTCGCGCGTACTACTGACTGATTGCCAAACGTGTGGATACATAGCAAACACGTTTGTCGAACACCCTTTGATCGGTGCACAAAAACCGACACCAACGCCGATCACTGGCATTCACATACAAACAAACAAACAAACAGGCGAACAACCATCCACACGTCCGTGATTGCTGTTTGGTGTTTGCTGTTCGCCGTTGTTTGCCAAGCGTGTGGATGAGGCATTAGAATGCGCGCTCTCAAACTCAGTCTGTGTCAAGTGGTTGCTGCTACGTGAGAAGTTTGAGTGAAGAATTATTTTTAAATTAATATGCCTTCGTGTGCATTGCGATACTGTTCAAACTACTCGAGAAATATAAGTAAAAGTCAAGGAGTAACTTTTCACCAGTAAGTTCAACTTATTATTATCTTTAAAACACTTAATTTAATTATATTTTATCAACTGCAACGTATACGGGAATGTCAAAGAGTAAAACATTTTTATGCGCAGACTTAACACTATCGACGTATAATGTTAAGTAATTATGGACCGTAAATGTTAATATATAATCACGGTAGGAAATGTTAATGCATTAAAATTAATAGTTTTTATTATTATTTGGATTTAAAGGTTTGCTGAATCAAAAAAAAAGAAAGAGAATCATGGAGTAATGTATAACAAAAGAGCGCCATTACCGCCAACAAACTGTTGCACAGTTTGGCGATGTTTATTATTATTTTAAATGCGTGTATTTTATATGAATAAATAAATTTAAAAAAAGGATCAAATTTTTTCAGAAGAATCGCAGCGAAGAAATGTGGTTACCGTCAGATTATTCACGCATATGTTCCGTACATTTCAAAGAAAATGACTAATACCTCACTAAAACAGGAAGTAGAAAGTACACTTAAAGAAATCTGCAGTACCATGCGATAACGTAATTATATAATATTGGTGGGATTTTTGTTTTATTTTGTGATTAGATGACGAACGAATTTTTGTAATGTGTAAACTCGGTATATTTACGGGACTTAAGAGAGGCGGTACTCTCGGCGCGCGAGTCATACTAGTTTATGACGGGTTTTTAATACTGTAACACTAGAATTTTTACAGGCTTCCCAAATTACTAGTATCTTTTTTTTCAGCCAACAAAATGTGGTGAACAAGAAGTATTAGATCCGTTGTCTGAATCAGTAAGCAGTTTAAATTAAATTTTTGATAGTCCGACAAAAATTGTACTCAAAAATAAATAACTGCAGCTAGAAAGAAAATGACTAATAAATTTAAGAAAATACAAAGACAAAATGTTTATTTACTGATAAATGTAATATTTACGAATATAAAAATAAATAATATAATATAAATGTACATTTTTATATTTTACATATTTACCTTTTAAAATATTCAATAAAATATCATTAAAATATAATTCTGACATAATATTATGTAATATTATATTAAATTAGCACATATGCAAAATAAATATAACAATAAAAGAATTTTACTCGATATAATTAACAATACAATATAAATAAACAATTATTACATACTGATCATTGTATAACCCAATACATAGCATAGGTATGACGAGGTAGTAGTTCGAGGTAGGTATGTAATTGAAATAAAAATTCAATTTAAATTACTGGCAAACCAAAATTTTATTAA